ATGAAATTTTCATATTTGATGAAGTAGCATACGGTAGACAACAGAAAATCGCAAATATTACTCCATGTGTCCACACAATGACATCGATGCTACATGTCAAACCTACTCTAAAGTCCCAAAGCAGATAGTGCGTGATAATTGCAACATGGTTGTGGTATGTAAATAGGATGAATCGATGCAAGGTTAGTATTTATTTTGGTATTGGCATTTGTCGGTATTCATATTTTCTTAGTTCCAGTATTTGTATGTTCATTTTATTATGTTTAACATTTTTTTATTTATGTTGTGTTGAAAACATTTGAAGAGTCCACGCAAGAAAGGCACATTTTTAACTGTAAAGCCCTTACTAGCTTAGTGTGATTTAAATAATTTAGGATCTTTTTATGCTTATTATATACACTATTTTGTATAATATTATGTGATGGACAGACTTTTAAAAAAAAATCCAATATTAAAAAAAAGGATTTGCGGACAAATTCGGTACTGCGGGACTGCCTAACCAGTAGTGCCTGTAGTCAAATATTTCGTAAAATAATCTACTCGCCAAAATGAATTATCGATCCGTTGAATTTGTTATTTGCTACTCACAGAGTTCTTAGCGTATAATCATTTCTATCTGGATACGGAAACGAGGAAAGATCAATATTTTAGTACTAAAAATATAATATAGTTATATTATTTATTTTATTTAAATAAAAAACAATAAGTAAATATATAATTATTTATTTTTTATAAACGAGTTTTTTACTAGTGTTTATTTATTCTATATACCTTCATACTGATTCCTAGATCCATGTTTTCAAAAAAAAAAGAAATTTCATTTTTTAAAATACGGAGAAAATTTATAATCACCTCTAATTAAATGACCGATTTTTGCTTTAGCTGAAAACGAAATATTTAGATTTATAAAAATGATGTATATAAATTAATACCATTAATAAAGGAATGGGCAGAGCTTGGGACTTTGGATTCGGCGATTCGGGTTTAAATCCCATTGTATTTGATGGCGTATATCGTTGACACCTGTGGAAATAAATATTTACCTCTTATATTGATTTTAAAGGAATTTTTAACTCCATAAGATAGAAAAACAAATTGCTCTCATTTTCATTCTTTTGCAATATAAGAAATATAAGATACAAATTTAAAAAATACTGGGGATTAAATTAAAATGATTTCACTTTCCGTAAGTAGGTATTAATTACCTAAGTCCAGACAATTTATTATTATAAGACTTAGAGGATTAAAAAAGTAGTTATTTGATTTTAAAATTCATAATGTCCATAGATTAAGGTTGTAAATTTAATTTTGACTACCTGCATTCTAAGAAAAGTGAGTTTCATTCTCATTAGAGAAATGAATTATGAACATCACAGTAACAAAAGATTAAATTGTTTTTAAAAATGTTTTTGTTTTAAGTTTTTTGATTTTACTTAATTTACTTATTTATATAAAATTTCGTGAAATACAGATACCTATCTAATCTGCTAATATTGTATATCTAATTTATTTTGATTTGTTTTAAAATTCTATATATTTAACTCATTAAAATTAAAAAGTGGTACTTTTATTAAAGGTGTATGTTTATAAAGCTTTTATTTATTTTCAACATTTTAAAATTTTAACACATTCGATTATAACGTTACCTGAAGATTATCTTTTTCTATATCGTTGTTGTAAATTTTTGTTATTTACCATACACTATCCCTTTGGGATAGGAAAGTAAAAAAATAATAGGTATATAAACTATCCTATCGGGATTATTTTTTTAGATGGAAATGATTTAATTTATAGGTGTATTATAATATCTATATACCACAGTAACGAAAATGAATAGAGTGACTAATGCATTAACTCTTCGTCAAAACCAAATCTTAACTGCCACAACATAAAAAGACTACTATTGTTACTATCGCTGTTGTATCTGCTTATAATAGTAACTCTATTCATTTTCGATACTGTAATATAAACTACTTTAAATTTAAAATATTTAAAAATTAAAAAAAGAGTACATTGTATTTATTATTAAAATTTAACTTATTTTTAAAACCCTCGTATCTAAACCCAGCTGCTCATCTAATTGTTTCCCAAATTCAACCAGGCGATCATTGCTCGACTGTAAATTAATATTACACATTCTATGTTCTTATTGTCATTTTAATAAACTAGTTTTAGTGTAATTATTTTTTTTAAATACTACAATATATTAAGAAAAAAAGAAAACATTTGATGTTATCAAATTTCAATTCGTTTTTATGCTGTAAAAGCATAAACGAAATGTAATATATTTTCGATCCATCTATGAAAGCAGGGATGAACTAATTATTGATTATTTTCGGAAAGTGAGGACGCCATTTCTAGTCCAAATTTTTTTTTAATAATGGATTATAAAATGCAACCCAATTTTCATTTGACTGAAAAATGTTTAACTTATGTGATTCAAGGTTTTAAACTTCGTTTTCTGAAATATGCCTAGCTGCAATAAAAATAAAAAAAAATATTAAATTATTTTTGGTCTAAAAAATTAGCACGTCACTGGACGGGAACGCAGTATTTTTTTATATTGACTTTCTCATTTATTTGAAAGCTTCGTAGTATATTTTATTTGGAATTTGATATCGTTAAGAATAAAAAAAAACGAGCAAAAGCAGAAGCAGACATTATTGAACGTGATTTATTTAATAAATATTCCCAAGTCGAAGTTTTAATGTTACAATAAAAATTCTTCAAATAATCAAAGGAAAGCATAATAAAATTTATTATGTTTCATATAATGTTATTTATGTAAATATTTATACGCTCCGGCTAACGATATTTATTTAAATGCTCTGTTTATTAAAGAAATAAAATGTATTTTTAGATTTTGGTTAGGTTAGTTAGTAGAGGCGCAATCGTTTGTATGGTTCTTGTGTTTTGGATTAAAAAGAACTACATGATTTGGTGTGTTTCAAATTCACAACTGTGTGATATTTGTTCTTCCTTCCGTCGTCACAAGAATAAATATACTACCAGAAGAATATCTCTCGCAAAAAGCCTTCGTTGGTCACATGATCGAAGATGTCCTAGTTAGTATATTTATGTTTCTGCTGTAGTTAACTGTACAGTAGTTTTAAACAGTAGTTTTAAACAGTAGTTTTAAACAGTAGTTTTAAACAGTAGTTTTAAACAGTAGTTTTAAACAGTAGTTTTAAACAGTAGTTTTAAATAGTAGTTTTAAACAGTAGTTTTAAACAGTAGTTTTAAACAGTAGTTTTAAACAGTAGTTTTAAACAGTAGTTTTAAACAGTAGTTTTAAACAGTAGTTTTAAACAGTAGTTTTAAACAGTAGTTTTAAACAGTAGTTTTAAACAGTAGTTTTAAACAGTAGTTTTAAACAGTAGTTTTAAACAGTAGTTTTAAACAGTAGTTTTAAACAGTAGTTTTAAACATATGTATGGACCCAGAATCAAGTTTAAATTGATTGATACCCAGTTTGCTGATATGAGGGTTCTTTCACTATGTAAACAGAGCATTCATGCAAAAAAAATGAAAGATGTATAGGAAAATTTCATCCATAGACTTCTTTAAAAAATTAAGAGATCTATCAGTTCATTCTTTGTATATCCTGCAATTAATACAGTGTTTATATGATTATAAAAACTAGTTTAATCAAAACAATAACATACACACATTACATATAACACCAGCATTAATTCCTTCTCATGCTGAGACTAATTCAAAACTCTATGAATTATATTTGTTTATTTATTTACGGGCAAGGCCTTTTGAGAAATAAATTACAATTTTAAATGTAGTGAAATATGGTGCTGAAATACAAACGTGGTATAATTAATTACATATAGACTAAAATAGGTGAATAATTTAAAAGATTTAAAAAGACAAAAGACAATAAGGTTAAATAAAATATTTACATTAAACATTAAAAATTAAAGATCAAAGATTAAAGATCAAAGATTAAAGCTCAGTACTAAGTTATTGCTTTATAAATTTTTGAAAGGGGGTGATAAATATCTCAAGATCGTTATAAGTGTTTGCTAATCTTAACATTCTTGGAATACAGCTGCTAAAAATATGGTTTAAACAATAAAAAGGTACATAAAATGTTTGTTGCTGTCGAGTTGAGCGGGTTGGAACATAAAGATTTATTTTTGTTAGAAGTTCAGTACAGCTGCATTTGCCATTGATAATTTTGAAAAGTATTGTCAGGTCTCTCAGTTTCCTTCTAGGGGATGTTTAGAAAATTCTCTAATAAACCATACTCGCAAAGGACACCCAATTTATAGGCTATGTATCTAAGAAATTTATATTGCACATTTTCTATGTTTCTGCTGTGTGTTATGTAATGTGGAGACCAGTCAGAAAGCAATAATCTAGGCGAGGTTAGACTAGTGAACAAAAAAGACGACATCAGCCGGGTTTAAGTTCAGTAGGACTTCTATCTGTGGCCCCTTGTTGGAGACACCTTGAATATTTAAGTGCATAACTTTTAATTTGGCAACTGGTCCGATTGAGGTATTCTTGTGGTCTTGTTTGCTTTTTGAATTGGTCTCGTTGTCATACGATGAATTTTCTCTGTCATTGATTTTTTGTTGCGATCTGAGGTAGGTGGGGGATTTCTTAAAAATCCTCATTCCTTCTGTCATATTGATTGTATTTCATAAAGTCGAACCTTTTATAGGCAACAGATTTAAGCAAAGTGGAAGGCTTATAGATTTCATCTTTGAGGTCAAAATCTATACCTAACATGAAGCACTTATTTTGGGTTTCATTTGTTGGGAACTCCTTTATAGAGATATCAGCACCCTTAAAGACATCTTGGGTTTTTAGATAATTATTGACGATTGACACGATACAGATAAATCCAAGCTTTTTTGTTGCTCCAAATTCCGTATTCTCCTCATTTGCTCCAAAATTTCTTCGTAGTTTATTTTTTTTCCTAATATGTTGTTTTATGAAAATACTCGTTGTCTGTCAAAGGTGAGGTGTTATCATTATTAAGGTTAACGATATCCTTCATTATAATTATGTTGAGGCTGTGCTATTGGGTTTTCAGAAATTTTAACTAAAGGTGGCAACGCCGGAGTTTCACTGGTTTTGTTTTCGTTATTGTTTGTTGTCGTAGATGATTGTATTGACTGGAGAGATAGTGCGACTTGTTTTTTGTTGGGTTCAATTTTTGTTTCTTCTTTATCTTTTCCTCTAAGAAATTAATTTTTTGTTTTAAAAGTAAATTGTTTTCATCGATTAGAGAGTATTTTTGTTCTTTTTCATGTAATAGTTGTTAAAGTAGATCAATTTTTTTTCTAAAATGTTTATTTTTACCTTATCTTCTGACCAGTTGGTGGGACTAGGTGTTTTTGCGTGGGTTGAAGCTTAAAGTGGGATCTAAAATAACTCCTAGGTCTTTAATTTGATTAACAGACTCCAAGATATGATTATTTAAGTTATAATCAAAAGTAGTCGTTGGTACATGGGCATTCAAGTAAATGCCATTTAAGGAACACCAGTTTGATAGATTATCAAGGTCAGATTGAAGCCAGAGGGCATCATAAATGGTTTTAATAATTAGGAAAACTTTTAAATCACCTGCAAACAATAGTGCTTTGCCATACTGAAAACAATGAATGATGTCATTTATAAATAAGTTTAATAAGGGACCAAGGTGCCATTCTTAAGGAACACCTGAGGTAACTTGAAATGAGTTACCCTGTTAAAAGCCTTAGAAAAGTCAGGGTACACAGAATCAATCTGGCAACCCTTCTCCAAAGTTTCCGACAGGAAATCGACGTAGGTAACTAGATTTAATTCAGTCGATTTCCCAGCACAAAAACCATATTGATGATCCGTTATGATGGCAGAGTAGTCATAGGTAAGGTAGTCTGTTATAATGTTCTCAAAAACCTTAGGTATAGTACTGAGAATAGATATAGATCGGTCATTTTTGACGTCTGACTTGCTACCCGATTTGTATATTAGGGTGACATAAGATAGTTTCCAATAATCTGGAAAGTCACCCATGGCGATAGATTTATTGAAAATATAGAAGAGAGGGCGAGACAATACGAAGCTGCAATTTCTGAGTAGGATGGAAGGAATAATGTCAGAACCTGAACCTTTCTTTATGTCAAGATTAGATAATTTCTCGTAAATGGTCGAAATAGGAATGTGATAAGAAGAAACATTAAGTTTTGATTCAATATTGTTAAAATTTTGATTTAGATTTTGATTGGTGTAAAGTGATGAAAAATACTTGGCAAACAGATTTGATACTTCACTGTCACAAGAAGCAAAAGAGTCTTCAAGGTTAATATTATCGGGTATGGTGTTATTAGATCTTTTAGTACTTACAAAATTTCAAAAGGCTTTTACATTACTTTTAAGAGAAGTTTCAACAGAATGTATGTAATTTGAATAGCATTCTCTAGATATAAATAATCAAGGCAATCAATAAACCTCCAAATAAATTCACAACTGGAAGTGACAAAATTCCTAGTTTTCTTTTAAAAGATTGTGCTGATGTGCTTGTAAGACCTTTATTTAAAATTTTTTATCTAACTGTCCAATAGTCTGTATTTCCTGATATGTGGAAAGTATCTAGAGTATGTCCTGTGTTCAAAAATGGTGATATTACGAATATCAAAAATTATCGTCCCATATCAATTTTAAATAATTTTGCCAAGGTTTTGGAGACATCAATGTATAACCTAATTTATGCTCAAATAAATTTCAACCAATAAGCACGGTTTCATGAGACAAAGATCTACCACTTCGAATATTGTAGAAATTACTCAGTATATAGCTGAAGCTGTGGACAATAAACAACAGGTTGATGTCATATACACTGATTTCTCCAAGGCTTTTGACAGGATTGACAACAAAATATTAATTCATAAATTAAATAATTTTGGTTTTTAGTGCTTTTCTCATTACAATAATAAAATCATGTCTACACAACAGAGGACAATTTGTTGCTTACAATGGTTACTATTCTAGAATATATTGCCCTACATCAGGTGTTCCTCAAGGGTCTAATTTGGGACCCTTGTTGTTTTTATTATTTATCAATGATCTATCCACATCATTAGAGTGTAAACATTTACTATTTGCTGATGATTTGAAAATTTACTCAAATGTGACTTCTCAATTACACTGTTTATTTCTTCAAAACTCCATCTGGTTTTGCATGATTATCAGACAAATAACATATCTTTATTACGGGTTACGCAGATGCGAGATCTTGGAGTCACATTTGATTCTAGTTTGCAATTTGTAGAACATATTAATAATATAGTTTCTCAGTCTTCTAAAAGTCTTAGAAATTATTATAAGAAATTGTAGAACTTTTCTAATGAAATTGCTCTAAAAACGCTATTTTTTGCGTTCATAAGATCAAAATTTGAATACGCATCGATTGTTTGGGATCCGCATTATCAAGTGCATATAAATTCATTGGAAAAAGTTCAACGCAAGTTTATTATATTCTTATCTGGCAGGCTTCATGGAATTTATTCTGCAAGAGGTATTCACCAATCTATTTTGGTACATCGTTTCAATGTCCATTTCTTACAACTAAGAAGAATACATGTAGGGCTGACGTTTCTCTATAAATTAGTACAAAATTCTATCGTTTCCTCAAATCGTCTTTATCAAGTAGATTTTCACGTTCCTAGAATCAATTCTAGAAGTATTACTACATTACTACAATGCGAGAACTAATATTCTTTCTAACTCCCCACTTCATAGAATGTGCAACAACTTTAATCATGTGGCAAACTTATGCGATATTAACTATGATTAACTAACACTAATTTTAAATAAATTCAGTCAATATTTTTATTTAAATTTACTTTTACAATAACTCCTTAACTTTGATTTTTTGTATAATTTTCTGATATTCTAGTTGTTGCTGTAATATAATGTAATATGAACGGAATAATGTTCATGATTTCTTCTTCTGTTTTTTCTCCTTGTATACATATTTTTTTTGTAACTAATATGTTAAATAGTGTTTGCTAACTGTATGGTATTGATTATGTCTATATCTTTAATGTGTAACTGTATTATACTAACATGTATGTATTCTAATTTATATTGACTTGTAAATGGAGATTCTATGTTGGACAATAAAGACTTTATTCATTTATTTATTTAACTGACTAAATATTTCATAATTTTGGGAAGTCCTGTTTAGCTTGTAAATCTTATGTGCAACCTTTTATGTAGATATAGAAATTAAGTGCTTTAACAAAATAAAAACCATTTACGACAACGACTTTACAAGAAATGGCATGAAAAATCGAATCATGAAATTCCTTATTGATAACGTATTTATAAAATTTTTAAAAATATTTCTTTAAAATAAATTTATGTCTATGCAAATTGCGCTCCATCTTCGATCGTTCGATTATAAAGTAAAAAAATGTACGATTAAATTTTCATTTAATTTCGATAATCTATTTGTCATGATCGGGCACCGTTGAACTCGAACTTTGAATATGCGGCCGAAATTCGTTACTCGTTTCAAACCGATGGAGGCAACAAAAACGAAACGTTCTATACACATACGACAGAAAAATCATTTCGTATAGATAACCATAGGATGCGAAATCAAAAAAAATAAAAAAAAAATATCGGGAGCGCATTTTAGCAGAGAGAAATAAAAACTAAATTGCCACATTTGTTATATGCAAAAATTTCAATTTCAGACTGAATATTGATCAGAGGCTGTAGTTTTTTTCATTATTTCATTTATTAAACTTCACTCCGCTAATCTGATAGCAAACTATAAATAAAAAATTACTCGTTCTATCATTGATTGTTCTTCGTCCGACAACAAATCAGTTAATCTTTTCATACTGACAGTCGATGGAAATGCTCTTTTTTAACTCTACGCCCGACTGGCTAAATATTAATACAGGTCTTTTTTTAATTTTCGGTAAAATGTGAGGTTTTTTTTCTTTTCGTATTTTTTCGTTGGCTAATTCTGTTGGTGCGCTCTAGTTGACCGAGTCTTCATACATATTTCGAACTCGGGCAATGCTTGCATGTTTACAATGGATTTTTTTTTTAAACTGCAGGAATAGGTGACAACAAAGTGTTCCACCACCCACAGGTACAAAGTGTTTAATGAATCGGCAACGAGTAAAAGACCAAAACGACCAGTATAGACTGCCAAAAGAATTTTTCCAACGGTTGTACATTACTGTTCGTTACTTGGAATTAACAACCAAATTTTTTTTAGTAATATTTACTGATTTATTTTTCTTTTTTTATAAGTACCCGCATAGTTATGTCAATCTTAAAATTTTGCGTTGATTTTTCGTTTCAAATTAGAGCATAATTTTAAATACTCGAATTTCAAAGCAGATTTTTAGTGCAAAAACATAAATACAATGTTGATTTTGATAACAGTTCAGAATAGTACAAAATAAATAGGGGAAAAATTAACGGGTAACTGTAGTCCAATCAAAGTAAACTTTGAGAAAACAAAAATTGCTAACTGGACTTTGATAAGCGTAAAAATGGTAATGGGTTTTATAATAAATAAATAAAATTAAATGCAACCGGAGGGGTTGAAGTAATGTTTTAGGGGATCGAAAAGGGGCGAAAAATGGTCGAAAGTTGACGTCAAAAAATAAAAATATATAAGGTTTGTTCCAACAGCGAATCTGATCATCAGAAGGATGTTAGACGTATGCGCATTGAAAATAGTCTGTTCCTACAAAGTCACGGATGATCCGATGAACTGTCAGTAAAACGTTCCAACGTATTTTCTGATTCGTACATGAATGAGTCGGCGGATTGTCAAAACGATCAGAGCTTCATCGCTTGTACAATTTATCAGCACATGCGCATTTGAACGTCTCTTCTCGTTCGTGATATTTTTTTGTAATTGTTGAGATTTTAAGTTAGCTTGGAGTGGCTTGGGTTTCTATTGCTTTTAATTGAAATGAATAATTTTTGTGTGCGGATTTTTTTTGTAAAATGCATACTTATTTTTAATAAAAATAAACAATCTTAATGTTTCAAAATTATACATTCACATAGAGCGTTCGAGACAGCTAAATAAATGTATGTTGTTGTATTTTAAATAATTTTAAAATACCAATTGACCAAATATATGTTTGGTTTGTCAAATTCCATTGCATTTTGCGTTCCAACAAGGACAAGTCGCTGATTAAACAACGGACGAATAAACG